CTACCGTTATTTATTAACATAAAAATTAAAAGACTATAATTGTCTATAAATAAAGTTTCAATTTCAGTGGACAAATTTGTCGTTTCATAGGTTGATCGTTTAGCTGTTACGAGGTGGTGATAGTTTTAATTTACCGAATGAACTTCAACGTTTAAATGCTTTTTCGTGTGTTAGTGTCTCTACGCGAGTCGTTTTTTACGATCAAAAGATTTACTTCCTCTGCAGTCGTCCATCAACATTTATCGCGCAGATCCAAACTCGCCGATTTGTTGATCTGTCAGACGCTAAGAGCGCTATTAGTATTAATACAACGCATCAAGAAGGTTCATTTCATTTTCCCTTCTGAAACTAAGAATATAGTTTTATATTTTCAAGTGTTTAACCTACTTAGTTATATACCATTAATGAGAAATTCCACAAGTCTTGTGATCTGGAATAATATAATTTATATTTAAACATATATTAATTATGTATCGTAATATTAAATACAATTAGAAGTAATGTATGTATTTTTAAATAGAAATACAAATAAGTTTTTATTGTATTTGTTTTTATTTGTGTTACAGAAAAATAGAATAATGATAAATGTATTATAAAGGGTGGCCCAAATTATTATTTAATTGGGAAACCTTTATTGATTTATAAAATAAACATGTTGAGATTAATTAATGAATACTATGTCGGTCAAATGGTCGCATCGGCTGTGCAAGCATACGCAGACCCTCAATTTTAGGAATAACGCGCTGTTTTCAGTTCAGGAATTGTTTGTGGTTTGTTAGTATAAACCTTGGACTTTACAAAACCCCAAAGTAAAAAATTGCATGGCATCAAGTCACAAGATATGGGCTACCAATTAACGTCAGAATTTCTGGAAATTACACAACCAGGAAAATGTTATCTTAACAAATCGATGGGTTCTTTTGCTGTATGACATATGGCACCATCCTGTTGAAACCACATTCCTTCGAGGTCTATGTCTTCCAATTGATCCGACAAAAAGTTAGATGATTCTCAAAAAAGAACGGTCAAATTACAATTCCAGCTTTTAATCCGCATCAAACTGTATCTATTTATGGCTTCATCGTTTTTTCATTAATAACTCTAATATTATCATTGCCTCAAATTTTGACAATTTTCTTATTAACAAAACCATCGAAATGAAAATTAGTTTCATCGCTAAAGATAATGTTAAAAAAAATGTTTTTAAAAAACTTTCCGAACAGTCTCCGCAAAACTTTAGTCAAATTTGTAATGTGTTTTAATAATCACAATACGCTCTTTTGTACAGCGACCCATTTTTAATAACCTCAATAATAGCAGATGACAAATGTCAAACATTAGAGATGAAAACGTATATACAAAAAAAAAATGGAAGGAAATTGAAATGGGCCACCCTATATTATAGGAAAGAATAGTTTACATTGCATGAAATCAGGAACTTAAACTTTTGATATTGTAATTTAATATTGGATTCCCCGAGTATCTATTCTGAGTCTTATGTACCATTTTTTACTTTTTTATGATGATTTATGGAAGATAGTAAGATATATGGGAAAATCTCCAAATTATATATAATATTATTAATTTTTGTTTTTCATAACACATAATATGGATAATGGTAACATTTGTTGCATTTTATGAACCTACTTTGTTTCTGATTCCTCAAGTATCAATTGTGGGTACTATAAATGTTTCTGTGTTTCGAATTTTTTTTTTAATTCTTTAATTTTATCGGCAAAATGTAAATCTTGTTTCCATTCTACGATTTTGTCCTAAAAGTGACAATAAATATGTTAATACTGATTATTTTCAAATGGATGTCCAATCTATCTTAAGTTATTATAATTCCCTCCCTGGTACAAAGTGTGTAGTAATGAATCTTAATGAGCATGTGCTAAGTAAATAAATTAATGATGGGATTAGTCTGTGGAATTAGGAGCGAAAGTGCGAGTCCATCCAGGACGGATCTAAGCGTATGAGCCAGTTACATACAGACACACTTAATACATACGGGCAGAGAGAATTAAATAATTCGCGCGATGTGGTTAAATATACAGCGCGTGACCTTTGCGTTTTATCTCCAGGCATATTGCATCTTCCGTCTCTCTCTTTCTCCCACACGGCAATCGGATGGGCAACGAGCGTATGTGTGTGCAAGGGAGACCTTGGCAATATGGTTAATTATAGATTTTCTCCAGTTTGATGATTCAACTGCTCGCCCGTTCTCGCTCTCACAATTTATCTTGCAAACACGTTCAATCTGTATTTATACATATATATAACACACCCATTTGAATTTCAAAACCAACAGCAAGTTTCCGAAGAGCGAAGTGGAGAACCGAAACCCTAAATCTCTTCCGGGAGGTTGCGAATCGGACGTTTTCCTAGTCGGTAAAAGCTCTCGGAATAATTCATGAGTTATTACCTTTATCGCCTGCTTTTTTATTATTATTACAAAGGCATATAAAAAAAGGCGCAGCATATAATAACCTGTGGAGTGAAGAGAAGAGAAAACAGAGCCGAAACTCTCCAAATCACGAACATGCTAATACTTATAATTTTATTCAATAGCAAACGCCGCTAATATAGTTATTAACTTCGTTGTTTCTTTCCTCAATTTCTTTTATTTTTTCGGTTCTGTAAACGACGTTGTTGTATTGAATACCATTCGGAACACGCGATGCTCTAAACCTTTTCTCATTAATTAACGTTGGTGACATGCACATTTGTGATGCATCGGTTCTATATTTACGGAGACATTTTCATTGTGTTTGCACGTGCACTGAAACGAGCCGTAGTTCATGAAAAAAAAAAAACAATTTTATTAGTTTACCAATACTAGTGAAGTTTGAACTTAGCTGTTTTTTTATATAATTATTTTTAATACAAATGTTCAAATTAAATTTGAAATATAAAAATATTATTAAGGTGTTGTATTCAATTGGATTCAGTTGTGCAAATTACATTAAAGAGATTCAAATACAATATTGAATACCTTGAGTTATTAAATTTACAAAATCAATATGTAACAAATTTGTTGATTTTTAGATTGTTGCTTAAAATAAATTTGGATTACATAAGAATAATAACTTTATTTCAACAAAATATACGAAAATGAAATAATGTAGTTATTTTGAGATCAACAATCTAATTTGATTTTGTAACGTAATAAATCGTGTATATAATAAATGTTGTTCCATTAATTCAGAGCACATATAATTAATAGACACGAAATGTGTATAACGTTTTGTAACTCAATTTTGTAATACATGGCTACCATTTCGTATGTAATTGAGTAACATTTTCATACCTAAGTTTAAAAAAAAGTACTCACTGGATGCGTGATGAAATTGTCGTTGTTGTTCATTGATGATGAAGGTTCATGCACTGAAAAGCGTATCAACGGTTCTCTGAGGAATCTGGATTTGGATAATGGCATTTAAAATATGCATTGGAACTAAGTAACGGTGAACGTGATTGTATGCACTTTATAAATTATGATGAAATGTCAGGTTTCCCTCTGTTTCTGCTTTTGTATATGCCGTTGATCTCTCGCATTAATCCATTCATTAATATTTAACAAAAATCTCTGTACGAAACGAATCAATATTCAATAAGTTTCCATAATTTAATATAATTATTAATATAAGTATTCACTCCTTTACGATCGCCTTTTCTGCTTTATGCAACGTTTTCCACGTTGGGCGAGGTCAACGCTGCACGAGTTTAATGTCTAAGCACTAATTGATTAAATTTTTATAGTAACAGCTCTAAGAGAATGTGTAGAATTACGTTTTGACGCTGAGAAATAGTTATTTCAATAAATACATTTTCTATAATGCAGAAATTCCATGCAATCAGAAACAAACGATGCTTGTATTACATCTGTATTTATTTATAATTACAAACAATTATTGATTCGAAATGGAGAATAAACATTAACCTTCTATAATTGTTTGTATACAATTCCTAAGTATTCAATAAAGTTAAACGTTAAATCTATGTGAAAGGATCAAAATGTTGCAGTATTTAATTGTAATTTGTTTGAATCCTACACTTTATACTTCATAATTTACTCGTATTCATTCAATTCCGATGTTCATTTTTATTCAAATAATTATAGAAATAATTTTAAACAACGATCAGCTTAATTTTGATTAACAGTTGATTAGTTCACTATAGTCCAGTTTAAAAATTTCGAAACAACTAAATTTGAATTGTTCAAAATGAAAATAAATTCTACATTTTTTTTATACATCAATGATTGGTTTTTGCTTTATACAGTCAAGTCTCTTCTTATGCGGTTTATTTCTATTTTATTTAGTACGGTTTCGAATAGTCCGGACAATTGGCGGAATTAATTTGAAATCTAACTTTTTTTTATAATACGCACATTGAATGTATTTTTTTGGAGCAGTTTCTAATGAAACAAATTACAATGGTTATATATTAAAATTAAAATTCGGTACTTACTTTCTGGATACAAAAAAAACATTTTACGTTTGCTGACACCATTAATTGAGCCATCAATGTGTGCCTTAACAGTATCATTATGCAAAAGCGAATGCCCGAAGGTAATTATGCCAATTATCGCAATGAATAAGTTTAATTTCTGCTTAAAATGCGACGCTAATTAATTCGATTTCATTAATATTAATACAAATAAAAACCATGGTTAAATAAAGTTGCTACCGGTTAAATAACGAACGCTAATTGATAATTGAATATAAATTAAAGCGAATTCCTCGATGATAAAAACAAAAAATAAGAGATCAAGATGTGGAAATAATAAAATAAAAGTGTTAACTATATGGTGAGAGTGAAACCAAGAAAGGCGTTATAAATTTATCGGCGATACAGTTTCAAGTGTAGCAATAAAATGCAAATGCGGCGAACCTTCGGCTACCAATCGTGCCAATTAAACGTTGTCCTTCTCCTTCTCTCATTGTTATTATTGATGTTCTCCTTCTTTGTATTAATTGAATGTCTCTTTGTTTCAGGTAAATACAAAAACACGGTTCGATTCATCCACATTCTAACGACCCGAGCAAGTATATTTGTTTTATTTAATTATCGCATTTTTCGTGTATAATGCGCAGCTTGAATTTTTTTATTGAGTAATAAATAGTGTTTTTTTTTTGTATTGGACACATCAAGTTTTGATTTCTTTAAGATAAAATTTAGTTTATATTATGTACTTGCGCATAATACGCCCCTTGTATTTGTTATGCATTCGTGTGTAATACGCACTTTGAATTTGACTATAATTTTAGTAAGACTGCAATTTTCGTGTATAGTACATCCTATACTTTAGCACTTTAGATCAACATTTGCTGTACACTCGTATATAATGCGCACCATCATTCCGTTTTTTTTTAAAATAAAATACTCGAGTACAAATTACGTTTACAAATAAACTAATTAAAATAACTTTTTAACATTTAATTGTGACAAAAATAATTTAATCGCAATTTCAATTGTGTATAATAAATGTAAACTTTACTGTAAAACGAACAGCGAATCTATGTCGAACAGAACGTAATTGCAGGAAGACCATTCTCGTTTTTGTTGCATAATTACGGTTAACTTGTTAGATAATACTTTTTCCAACGGGAGGAAAAATATTTCAACGATGAACTTTTGTTGCGTTGCGTAACAGAGATCCTATTGGGTAATAGACTTTCTGAAAAGCGAAACAGACGATCACGCGCAAAACTGTTCTAATTATATTCCGAGTACGCGAATGGTTAATTGTGAAAATAAATTATAAGAAACGATGCATTAACGTTCGGAGAATAATTGCTTAAACTGCAACACAAGATTGACATGTTTCTTGTAATTAACGCTTTAATCATAAGAGACGTACGTGTTTGTTATTTAATTGGTTGCTTATATAAGAATCTGTTCATAAATACAGACATTTAAAGTGGATTAGTGCGAATGTCGTAACGCCGTTTTTGGATTTATTACCTGATATTTACTTTTTTCCTGACTTAAGACTTTTCCGCATCACCAATGAAGAATTAATGATTATTTCTATATATATTATTAATACTTTTTTATAAGATTTCAACTGAAAGTTTAAAATTTCTTAATAACATATATAATATATAATAAATGTTATCTTTCAAATCAATAATTAATTAAAATTACTTTTTATACAAAATTAAGTTTAAGAATTATCATAATAATTAAGAATATATAAATATGAGGGGTCTAACAAAAGTTCGCTAAGTTGGCATTAATTCATTTGTTTCTGAAAAAACAAAAATTGTTTCTCAATTTGTTAAAGTCAAATTTCAAGAAGATCGTTAAGAAAATGCTAGATTAATGATGTAAAGTTGGTAGAAATTCTACCACCAACACAGCAAAAAAATTGTTTTGACATTTTCTATGGATTTCGACGTCAACTCAAGCCTATGCAAATTTTCAAGGAATGCCAAAATGTATATGGGGTGAATGCATCATACCTTGTGACTATTTCCAAGTGGTTTCAAAGATTTCAGACCTGGCATTTTTCTGTGGAGGACGAACATAGTGAAGGTTGCCCGAAATCTTCGACCGATGATACAAATGTAGCCCTGGTGAGGGCAAACACTGACGAAAAGGGGAACTGAAATAACTAACAACTTTCTTGTGCTCTCTGGCATCAATGAAATTCGCTCAGAACCTTATTCTACCGACCTAGCGCCTTGTAATTTCTGCCAGTTTCCAAAATTTAAAGTCTTCAGTTCCAATGAAGAGATCATTAATTAAAAGTTGAAAAGTTCAAAAAATCCGATTTTGAGGAATGTTTTGAAAAATGGCTCTACTGACTTAAGAAATGTATTGAAATGAATGGAAATTATTTAGAGAAATTACAAAAGGTTGAAAATTAAATATATTAAAGTAAAATTGTTTTTATTTTGTTTTTTTTAGCCAACTTGTGAACTTAGCGAACTTTTGTTAGACACCACGTAATTACTATTGATTTTTTTTAAATTATTTAAATGTTAAATAATTAAATATGAAGGGTAATATTTCGGCCATATTTCACTCATTTTAGTTTACTTTTAATAAAGAATTGTTTTTAAAAATGAAAAAAAAAACAGTTGAGTCTTTCATCGACTAAATAAGTTATTAAAATTACAGTTAGCGTTTGTAAACTTTTCATTTCATAAACATTCATTAAGAAGCTATGGCTTTGGATATTTTTAACACCAAGCAATTATTTGTTAAGTGAAGCAAGTAATGCGAATTGTTTGCGAAAAGTTTGTTCATCGTAAGGATGGTCAATTTCCTTTCGATTTATTCTCTATGTTATTCATTATCTAATTGAAAATAAATTATTTTGACTATTTAATAACAATAATAAAATAATTTAAATAATTAAGTAATGCACTTAGCTTTAAACTGTTATGTTATATGAAAAATTCAGATCATTTTTGTATTACGTCAAACGACATCAGAATAAATTAACAAACTATAATTGATTAGTGATAATATTGATATTAAATTTAAAAAAAAACGTCGAAAAAGTAGTGAAGTTTAATTACTTTGTTTTCTTGTTAAATTATTTTGAATATTATTAGATATGTGTTCGGTTTGTTTTTGTTAAGTTCAAATTCCGTACGAAATGAAGGAATGTTACGTATTACGCGAGTTTGCGCATTACACAGAAAATCTTTTATTTCGTCTGTTGTTTTTTTGTTGTTGTTGTCAGTTTGTTGTTTCCGTCGTACGCAATTGTCGCTCGTCGCTACTATCCATGCTATTTGTTATGCTTTTTTGTGGGCGCTGGCTTGGTAGCTCAGCTACGACTATTTTTACCATTTTCTGTTTATCATTTTTCGCCGCGCAATGAACCACGACCTCGAAAACGTGTGCTCTACACGAGGGCGTCCGTCTACGCCGCGCTGCGCCGCATCTTACGCAACGTTTGCGTCTCGCTCGAACGAAGAAGAGGTGTAAAACAACATGGAAAAAAAGGACCTGTAGAATAAGTGAACCGTGCATTTACGATGATGCCTCGTTGCGTGGATCTATAGATGTGTTTGTATTGTGTAGAGAGGACGAAAACGAGAACAACAGTAACTACGAGAAGTGAGAAAAAGGACGAAAATTGCGAACACGTGAGTTAATTGGAACGGAATTAATAACGGAATGAGTGAAAAAAAGATAAATAAATAAATCCGAAACGAACGCAGAAGGCGCGTGTTTCGCTTTAAAATTTAATTAATTAATCATCGCCTTCGATTCTTATTACCATATAAATTATTTGCGCCGCATTAATGATTCCACGCAATACGGAAAAAGGCAAAAAATAAAGAAGTGAATATATCGATGTGAAAGGAGAAGTCGCGTTTATTGATGCTACCTGTTTCTACCTTCGGCGTTGCGCTACCTCCCATTTCCAAATTGACCACTAATTTCAATATCGACTCAAATTTCATATATAAAAATTACAGATCTTTAAAACAGTTTCACGATAGTCAATTAAACGTGTTAATACTTGGATGGATGATTGCTAGTCTAGAATAGAGAATTTAGAGTGACAAAATCAAGATAGATTTGTGCGTGTTTTATAAAGTAAAATAATAATTATTCAATTACTTAAATAATTGGAGTCAATAATTGATTATAAAATATAAAACTCTTTAGTAAAAACAAATATAATATATAATATAATCAAACTGAATTTGTAGTTTAAAAATCTGTTTGTGTTTGAATACCGCTGTAAACTTTCAAAATGCAATCGTTATAAATTAATTACATATTCATTTATACAGAAAACATATGTATTTAAAAAAAATGCGCTTATTGTATATTCATTGATTTATTTAAATGTGAATTTACGCAATCAATTTGAAATGTAGGGAATAAATTTCAACAAGTCTATAAGCTAATACATTTAATAAAAGTTTTTTTTATATATTCTTATATTGTAAACTTTCCTGGTATATAAGAAAACTCTTAAGTTTTGAAAGAAACATAATAAGAAAAGTCATTCGGAAAAGTATTTGGTATTATTGTTACAGAGTAAAACGAATAGAAACGTATTAATGGAACATCGAAAATATAAAGATTTTATAAATCTACTTGATCTGAGGTCAAATATTCTTTTATCATTTGGTTATTAACTATTAGTTTATGTTAGTTTAAATATTATGTCTCAATATTTATTTTTATTAAAATTCTGAATTACATTTGAATATATAGTTTGATTGGAATGTATTTTTTTAATGAAACTGTTCGATTTCAAATGTAAATGCTCAAAGTAAATGAAATTTAGACAAAGGAGAGGAGAGAATCTATGCTCACCTCATTATTTTCGCACGGAATAATCATGAAATGAATTGGCTCACAAAGAACCCCGGATCGTAATTAGAATACAATGGGCGTCGATGCCTTCCATTACCATTCCATTTACCTCTTCTAGTTAAACAGTAGAAGCAATGCGAGGACAGTGGACTCGCTCGCTCTTTCCTCTAGTTCTCATCGATTTTGGACAAAAATTAATTCGTTCCCTATTCGAAACAGATTCAAATGGAAACTCTCCGGTACAAATCGATTGTGTCTCGTCCTCTTCCCTCCCCCACATTACCGTTCCAATATCAATTACATACAATCCAGGTCTTTGGATTTATGCGCGCACGCAAATTGCAAACAGGATATGCAAATCAGAGGCCTGGCATTCTTGGCACATTCTCGTAACGAACGTAAATATCGCTTATCCATTATATCCGTACGCAGTCATAAGCGAGGAATGGATTGGAAAGAGATCGAGACGTTCGCATTTTATATCATTATTATGCATATGCATATCTTTACGGAGCGAGAGAAGGGTTTTCCTTTGCGAGAAGAAACATTATGTAAATAGCGCTTTATAACACTTATTAATTTATTATAATTCCGCAAATTGGACCAATTGACAGGAAGACCTATGTTATGTTCTTTTTTATATCACCACGCATCATTATATTTACGAGTGTGTGTTCCAATTAATATGCATCGATTATTACATGAAATGTTGCTGCATTTACATCGAAATTTAACAAAACGCAATGCAAAA